CAGCATTTGGGTGGACGTCCTTCCATGAAAGCTTGAGCTGGGGTCCTCTCACTGGGGCCTTCAGATCCCCATGCAGGGGACAGTGCAGCCCAGAAGCAAGGTGGATATGGTTTCGGAGGGATGGATGATGGGCTCTGTGGCCTCCAGGTGTCAAGGACATGAGCCAGCACTAGCTGTAGCCACCAAGCTCCTCTCTGGAGCATTCAGAAGATGAGCTGCATGTGGACTTCTGGCCCCAGAACATGGAGGGAGTAGATCCTGTTGTTTAAGCCACCCAGTCTGTGGTCAGAGCACAAAAAACGCACAGCACTATTATAATTAGCAAGTTGGCATTCGGCAGCTCCCTTGTAAATGGATCTTTGCCTCTGTAAACACAGAAGCTCTGTGAAGCTTCTCCCATGGCATCTGAGAGCAAGGTGTGTCACGATGTGGGTTGCACTGTCACTAGATGCGCAGTCCTTGGCTGACCTTGCACACCTGCGGCACGGCACAGCTCCATGTGAGCAGCCAGCCTCCTGCTTGCCAAGGCCCCCTGGGCTCGCACCATGTTCTTTCCAAAGGAGCTGTCTGGGTCCCCAGGGAGACCCTGGGCCTTGTCTGTTGGAGTCCTCACCCGGTGCCACGCCTCGTGTGCCCCCCATACACCTGATGCTCCTGTTGCCTGTGCTCAGTGGGACACCCTGGGATGCTTCTGTGACTGTCCCCATTTCCCCCCAGGCAGGTGACCTGGCTGTTTCTGCAGTGAGGAGCAACAAGCCACAGCACACAGGCCTCCACCCCAATCAGGGAACTCCCCAGTCCAGAAGCCCGTGCCCTGGGGGTGCCCGTCTGGTGCGAGATGCCAGCCCTCAGCACTGCCAGGAGGATGTGCCCTGCCTCCTATGCCTGGGCCAGCACTGGCCTGCCCCTCAGCCCCAGCAAGCCCAAGGCTGCCTGTGTGTGGTGGCAAAACCTGCAGTGGAGCAGTAGCCACCCCTGACCACGACAACCCAGGCAGGCCCTGGCTGGGTTTGTGCCCAGTTAGAGTCGGGCTCGTCTGACACATCAGCTGGCCAGGTCACTTTGGATCGAATGCCATGAGGCCTCGCCCAGCTCCGGGAGCAAGACCTGCAGGGTAAGATGGCAAAGGGTGTGAAAAGAAAAGTGTCTGTAAAGATTTCCCGTGCCCCAGGCGCCACAGGTTCCAAGCTGGGTCTGAAGGAAGAAAAGACAGGGCTTTGTTTCAGAGCCACGACTGTCTGACTGCTGTTAGTGGACGCAGCAGCCCACGAGGTCAGAGCCACCAGGACAGGGACTGTCACAGGGTTCAGACTTGGGGAAAGGGGCAGAAGTAGAAGTCGGAGGCTGTTGGGAAACAAGGTCTGAACCAGCTGGGCTGACTTCCCTACGGTCCGGTCCTATGCTCTGGTGAAACAGGAGAGGGGCTCACCACACCCTGAACCTCTGAGGCCGACCCTGAACTCCTGGCTTAGGCAGCCTCACCTGCACCCTCGCTCTCATCCAAGATGCTTGCTTGGCACCGTGGAGTGGGCACATGGAGCCCACTCCTGCAGGGCCCAGAAGTGGACAGTGCTGCCGCAGCATGGCTGGTCAGCTCAGGGCCAGCGCCCTGCACATCAGCGTCTCCTGGGAAGGTCGGACGAGCCTCATCAGGGACGGGCACCTCCCAGTGCTCGAGTGTGTGCTCAAGGAGGTACAGAGAGCAGGGGGAGGGCTGTTTCCAGGTTGTATGTGCATGTATGTGTGTGCAGGGCTGATCAGTGTGCAAAGATGTGTAGGCAGAGATAAGAATCCAGGAGATATGTGTAAAGTGAACTTCATGTATGTGTGCAGGGGTGAGGGGAGGAGGTCAGTGTACAGGGGTGTGAGCACACCAGCTGCACAGCACCCTAATCCAGCCACCTCCTAACAGCCCCACCTCTGAGAATATGAGGCTTTGTGGACATTTTAGGGCTAAACCATGAGGGACTGTTGTGGGCGTGCCCATGGCCCAAGGTGGCCATGTGCACTTGGCCAAGCTCTGAGGGCCTGCTGTGGGGCATAGGAGAGGAGCCCCCATGGGGGCCAGGCAGCCTCTCCAGCTTGAGGGTTGGGTCCCCAGTCCCTGAGTGCTGGCCAATGCCTGTGCCTCAGTGGTCAGATAGAGACAAGGGCTGCGGAAGGCATCCTCAGAGACGGGCCTGTGAAAGGAAGCACTTGCTGGGTCTGCCATGGGGTGGCTCCTGCTGTCCCTACTGCTGGGCTTCTGTCCAGCCCGGGCTGCCTGAGATCAGCTAAGATGGTGTGGCCAGGCCACGATGGTGCCCCCTCCATGTGGGGTCGGCAGAATGCCCCCCAGCCCAGTCAGGGCTCTCTGCCAGGCAGCAAGGTGCCCTGGAGGGAGCAGCACCCTGCTGACCCGAGGCCCTGCTTGTCTGGATCTCCAGGAGGCTACCGGAGGTTGTCCATCTGCCACCTGCAGAGGCGCCTGGGAATCAGCGGGTGCAGAGCCCCCTGGCAGTCAGAACCTTTGGGGTGCAGAGTGGGTGGGAACTGAGACTCTGAAGAGGCGGCTGGGGTGAGAAGCACGTGTGGTCGCCAGAGACAAGGCCTGGCAGGCTAAGGTCCTGCATCCACCCTGGATGGGCAAGGAGCAGCCACTTCTCACGCCTGGGCCTGAGGGCCTGAGGTCTGGGGCGGTTGCATGGAGATGGCCCTTGGGCCAGTCGCCTTCCACTCCTGTTGCCCTGCTGGCCGGGAACAGGCCAGCCTCCCCGGGCTGAAGGCCAGTGTCACCCGAAAGCTGTGCTGGCCTGGGCCAGGTGTCGGGTGCTGCGGGCACTGGACGGAAACACTGCTTCAGCACAGGCTTTCCGGGCTGCTCTTTGTGCTGGGGAACCAGCCGACACCCCGCAGGCAGCCTGCAGCACAGGCCGGGTGAGGTGCTTCCCTCCGTCACCAGGGCTCCTCCTTCCTCTCAGGGCGCGGTTAAAGAGATGCCCAGTCCATTCCACAGTGGCACCAGGAGCCTGCCCAGCACGGGTGAGGCCTCTGGTCTCCCCTCCTGAAATCTCCCTTCAGTACCTGGGGGAGGTGTGTTTGATGAAGGTAGCCAAGCACAAACCCTGCCCCCGGGGCCCTCTCTCAAAGGCCCGGGGACCTCCCTGGAGGCAGCACTGTCATCTGCTTGGCTTAGGGTCAGCTATGCACGTTGTTAGCGACGTGGGGCAGGTGAGACCCCACTGCAGGCCTGCAGTGTCTCCCTCAGAAGATGCTGTTCATGTCACACTGATTTCCGAGGAGTCTCGAGAGGTACAAGAAGAAGGGTGCGTGGAGTGGGGAGGGTCTGCAGTCTCCCTGAGAGGTGGGGCGCAGCCTGGCTGGGGGCTCTTCCCACACCAGGAAACAGCCTGCCTTTGAGGACAGGTGTGAGACCAGGCGCTGAGTGTACGAGGGCACACGGCAGGTGTCCGTAGTGTTTGTGACTTAGGCCTGCCCAGTTTGAAGGCGCCCAGCCATGAAGAGCCCACCGGCCAGTCTGCACTGCTGAGGGCTGCGCTCCCCTGGAAGAGGCGTCGGATCGCCTGAGGGACTAAGGGACGCTCCAAGGCTGAAAGCCGCAGCACACGGAGCCCGGTCACCTTCCTCTCCTGGGGGCAGGGCCGGCATGACAGAGGAGGGAGGAGCAGTGCAGAGGACGAGAGAATGAGCTTTGGGAAGCGTGGCTCGTTTAGAGGTTGAGGGCAGAGAAAGGCCAGCAAGTGGATGGAAGGGTGCGCTGGAACTGCACAGCAATGTCCAGAAGCGACGTCCACAGGGCAGGCCCGGGTCCTGAGGGCAGAGGCTGCAGTCCATCCGCCCGCCTCCCCTCCGGAAGCTGGGTCTCACCCCTCCCTGCACACACTCCAGGGCTGATCCTCGCCCCGGCCCTAGGTGGGGGTTAGCACCCTTTGCTAAGTGAGGGTGGGACACAGGCAGCCCCAGTGGCCACACCCGTGCCATGGGCCTGGTGCAGAGACCCTCATCACAGGCGTGTGCGTGTGCGTCCCTTCCATGTAAGCAGTGTCACTGCTTGCTCTGGGGCTCTGGGCTCGCTTCTGGGCACTCGCCGGGTTCCTTGTCACCTACGGAAGAGCCTTTCGGCCTCTATAGTAGAAGCCTCACCCACGGCGCCCTGACAGCAGAGAGGCAGGGGACAGCATGATGGCTGCGGCTGAGGAGTAACGGAGCAGACAGCGACCGCTGGGACCACCTCAGCGCCTCGGAGAGACGGGTGCTGTTGGGCATCGTGGGCGCCGGCTCGTCCTCCCGCATGCGGAACAGTGATGGGGCCCTGCCAGCTCTGAGAACAAAGCTCCACGTCGGGGCCCACAGACACCACCACGCGCTCCCTCTCAGGAAGCCTTCCCGCTGCTTCCCACAGCTGCAGACCCCAGGGGCGCGGGAGAGTATCAGGCTTCCAGAAACAAGGGCAGGGTGTCTGGGGTGGTGGCTTAGTAGAGTCCCCCAGTTTGGTATCTTAAATTTGAAGCCTGAGACAAAAGAAAGACCGGGAGAGAGAGCAGGGCAAACCCAGCGTCAATACCAAGAGGCTGGGCAATAACTTCTCCCTGATCCATGGACATTTTTCTTCACCATAAACAAAACGTCATCTCTGTACCACAGAGAAGGAACTGAGCTGAGGCCCTAGGGCCAGCGCACCCCTGCCAGACAGGGGCCCAGTCGCCAAGCCTGTGCACACCCTTGCTTATAGTGACACAGCTCGCAATGGTCTGTCTGTCCACCAACAGACGAATGGATAAAGAAAACGAGGCAGGCACAGACCAGGAAATACTACTCTCCCGTGAAAAGGGACAGATTTGGGCCATTTGTGGGCAAGGGAGGCACCTGGAGACCATGTTAATTGAAATAAGTCAGACATACGAGCTTCAGTATTACATGGTTTCCTTTATCTGAAAAACTCAAAGTAGAACAAAATAAGTGAGAACAAAATAAAAAACAGGTACCAGGAGGTAGGGAGATAGGTCTTTTGCAAACAGGAAGGGGACCAAGACGGGGAGACACGGAGGGTGAAGCAGGGCTGTGCGCATGCACCAGCCAGGACGAGTGTGGTCACCACGACCGGCAGCCGGCGCCAGTGACCGGTAAGCTCAGAGGCGAGGTGGAGGGGACGCTGCACAGGGGAGACAGCAAGCACAGCTCCTCCTGTACCCTCAGACAACCCCAGAATTCAGAGACAGGACAGAGCTGAGGAGAGGGTGGCTGAGTAGCCGAGGCGGACATCAGGAGCCACTGTGGCACAGCCCAGCCAGGTCCGCTGCAGACGTCTGACGAGCTCGATGAAGAGCCAAGACCACCGAAACTTCCTATGGGTTCACCTCACCGAACTGCTGCTTCTTGTCGTTTTTTGGCAAAACTGAGCCTGCACGGTGGTGATCGGGATGTCGCGGTGAACGCCCCAGGCTGCGGCGCCCTGTGCGCAGACCGGATGGGGCGGGGACAGGAAGGTGCACATCACTGAGGAGCGGCGGAGCGGGGCTCGGGTGCAAGGCCGGGACAGAGGAGACGAGGGGACCACCAGGGTGCTGGCCCTCCCACCATGGGGAAGGAGAGGGCCAGGGTGCTGGCCGGGCTGGGTCCAGCAGGAGCGATCAGGACACGACCCTCTGCCGCATCGCAAGTTGGGGCAAAGGCCTGGGATGGGAGCAGGACGGCAGCAGCCCATGGAGGCCAAGCTGGCGGTGTGGGAGCCACGTGGCGTGTGTGCAGCACGTGTGTGGTACACCCCTCCGCACCACAGAGCGGTACATCAGCCCGGTTCCTGAGCTGACCATGGGGCAGAGCCCGAGGCCAGCACGTGTGTGCGCAGGGTCCTGGCGGAGCCTGGCACCGTGGCTGCCACACGGAGTCTGCTGTCCTTTGACCTGAGGAGGAAGAACGCCTCACTGGAGTGGCAGCTCCTGTCCCTCCCGCCACCCAGGGTCCAGAGGAAGGGGCCTCGTAGCACAGAGCGGTCACCAGGCTGCGGGTCACTCGTACTGACAGCCCAGGACAGCTCTGCGCGCTTGGGTGACCCCCTCCCTGTGGGGCTGCACACTCCCGGTGGGGGGCAGCGGGCAGGGGCCACATCCAAGGTCAAGTCCTGAGCTCTGCCAGGGGCCCAGCAGGGGTTTCCGGGGCTCCGCCCTGCTCAGAGGCTCCACTGCGGCTCTCACAGCAGACTGCCACTCTGACTCGCTGACCAGCTCCCCAAAAACTTTGGCAACAGGGTTAAGTGTTGTGAGCACTTAGCATTTCACACACACACACACACACACACACACACACCCATGACAGGAAACTCAGGCAGAACAGAAGCCCTGCAGTGTGTTTCCACACTGAAACACACACACACCCCCATGACAGGAAACTCAGGCAGAACAGAAGCCCTGCAGTGTGTTTCCACACTGAACAAAGGAGCTTCCCTTCCTGGCCCTCCCAGCCGAGACACCCACAGCTTCTCCCGTTGTCCCCGGGCCCAGAACACTCGCTCCGTTTCGCAAGCACCTCTCCAGGCTGTGTCTGGATGGTTTGGAGGAGCTGAGTCCATAATGAAGGGTTGCCGGGCCAGTGGTAATTACCGCAGAGCCCACCTTGATTCCCACCTCCTCCGCTCTGTTTGCCGCATGTGGGGAATTCCCTGGTACTTTCAACTCCTGCTAAAAGGATTCTGGAACTTGCTCTGCCGCCCACCTGCCCACCATGCTGGGTCCGAAACCTGTTCCACCCCATCCTTCCTTCCCTGAGAACATTCGGGGACACCACGGGGTGAGGGGCTGGGGAGGGAGGAGGCAGCTCAGCGGGTGGAGGGGCCTCCCCACAAGGAGGAGACACAGGCCGGGGTGTGACCCTGGCTGTAGCTTTCCTGAGCCACCGAGGTCAGGCGGCTCACCCTTGGGAGCTCACAGGGCAGTGCTGTCCCTAATGCGCGCTCACATGCAGAGGGAGGGTTCAAGGGACTACAGAGCGAGCCAGAGCTTTGGACAGCGGCCTCGGTGCCCCCACCTCCAGAGGCCAGTGAGGTGGGTGAGAGTCAGACAGCAAGGGTGTGTGCCAGGGCCATTGGAAGACCCCAGATTGTGTACAATCTGCAGCACAATACAGGGTGCTGGATGGCAGGGCTTCCCAGGAGCAGGAGGATGGAGAAGAGCAGGAGGGTGGAGGAGGAGGAGGAGGGGAAGAGGAGGGGAGAAGGAGCAGGATACAATCTGCAGCACAATACAGGGTGCTGGATGGCAGGGCTTCCCAGGAGCAGGAGGATGGAGAAGAGCAGGAGGGTGGAGGAGGAGGAGGAGGAGGAAACGCATCCATCCACAGGACATCTGGAGGAGTCCGAGCTGCTGCTGGACACTGGCAGGCAGACGCTGGACACTGGCAGGCAGACACTGGACAGGCCGAACCCCTGGAGGTCAGCAGTCCTGTCCTTCACAGTCGGCAGGAGCCTTGCCAAGGACCTTAAATCAGCACTAAGTCTCCCCACAGAAGTTCGTGTTTTATGTTATTTTAAACTTTAAATCTTGAAGGATTTATGAATTACTAATAACTACAAATTCATGAATCTGGAACAGGATCAGAATGAGACCAAACACTCCGTCACCCATGAAGAAGTGATTTTTTTCTTTCCTTCTTATGATTATCAACTTTGTGAAGCAGATTGGCCAGAGTCATTATTTCCAAGTTAAAATTGTTTTTTGTAATGCCTCATCTCACAGTCGTGTGCAATAACCACATCTATTTATTTTTTCTTAAGTAATCATGGTATTTCCATCAAAATTCATTAGAAGTCACTTCTAGAAGGATATGCTCTTAAAATATTCAGATTTATAGTTAATGTTTTATTAACCATATTTAGCCTGTAATTATTTTTCTAATGAAAATTATCCTGACGGCACCATTGGATGTTATGAGGCCAACAGTTCAAACAAAATGCAGAGAAACATTTACCCACAAAGGACTGTGCATTCATCACTTGGAGGAAGGATTTATGTGGTATATAATTAATTGTCGCCTAAGTCTGACAGCCCGTATTTTACTCCGATGCATTATTTACACTGGGGGAGGCGAAGTGGCTCACCCCTGCGAGGATAGGAAAACACAAGCGTACACATTACCTCAGTGGTGGGGCTGCAGTGCAATGAGCAGCCGTGTGGGACCTGCACCGCAAATGTGGATGTGCTCTATGTACACTGAACGTACATTCAGTATCTTACAGACGCTGTAATGGCGACAACAGGAGTTCATGCGTGTGCACGTGTGCGGCTTCTGCAGCGGCACCTCGGTTCACCGGCTTAATTCTTTCCAACTGAATAAATTCAGTGGTCAGGCCCAACGCCGACCTTCAGGGGAAATGTGATTCGGTTCGTGACCAGAACCACGGAGAAAGGAGATTGTGAACCAAGGTGTCTCTCCGTGTGCATTCAGACAGCATAATCCCCCAGCATGGTGCAGCACACTCGTGTGTGCGGCAGGACAGCAGCCCATCCGAGGCGAGCCTCAGTGGGTGGCACGCACGTGTTCTACAGCTGAAGGCAGCTGCCCCACCTCGCGGTGGCTGCTGTGGTGTGCACACAGTGTGTGTTCACACTCGGAACTTCCGACTGCAGAAATCTGTGGAGACTCAGGCCACAGCAGGCCGGGTGTGCTTCGGAACTGCGCTTCTCAGGCTCGCAGCACGGCTGGTGGTGAGGACAGAGGCCATTGCCGGGCGAGTGTTGGTCTGAGCAAGTACAGGCCATGCGCTGCTCTGTGCTGTGCTGCTCAGTCACCTCTGGGCTCACCGGAAAGCCACACGGAGCAGCTATGGACGTATCATTGCAGGCTGCTGGCTGAAGATGGACAGAAAACACGGGGGCCAGGACTGCTCTCCTGGAGGACCCGCCACACCAGGGCCAGGCAGCAGGAACCCATGCCGGTCCGCCCTGCAGCGGCCAGCATGTGCGTTCACCTTGCAGCCAGAGGGAGGCGCTATGCTCATGACTCCTGTGCCAAGTGGAGTGGGAGGCTCTGCTTGCCCAAACAAACCATTCCTACAGGCCAGGGCATTCACACCCTCAGGAGGCCTTTCTCCACGTGGACCCGCGAGCCTGCTCCTTACTACAAGAGATTCCAGGACGTGCAGAAGCCTGGGACACAACACACAAGGAGACAACGCACTCGCAACCCTACCTTTCCGTACTCCTTCAGCGACATTAGTGACGGAACTAGGGGACACTGACGCCAGCAAAGGGAGCCTTTGATTGAATGTTTCCATGCAGAAACAGGCCGAGGAGCCAGCGTGTGTGGTGTCCGGCTCCCGGGTGATGGTCTCAGCCGGGGGCAGGAGCGGTCGCGCCCCACATGTCTACCTGCCCACCCTGTGGTCTGGTCCTGTCCCACGGCACTGGGTGGCGCTCAGTGCCCCGCTTAGAAGGGGCTTGGCGGCCACTGTGGGTGCCCGCGGCTCCATCCTGAGCAGCAAATGGCACAGAGGCAGCCGGCGCCCCGGGGCACCTGTCTCTCTTCCTGTTGAGCTGCAGCCCCTTGAGCCCCAACATCTGTCACCCTGAGGAGCCTCCTCGTGTCACCGAGGGACCAGAATCCAAGTGTCGCTGGAGGGCTCCCTCCACTCCCATCCCGCACCGGCCCGCCAGAAACCTCCTAGGCCGGTTTCCATTGCTTGTTACAAACTCAAGCAGACCAGATTCTGTCAGCCTTCCTTAGCCTAGACTTTAGGACATGAAGAAGCCTATTTTTCCTCACTGAGCTCGGGAGTGAGATGGCCACGACGAGTGAGCTGGCGGCCCCTGCCCCAGCTCCCCCTGAAGTGGGCTGTGACACCCAGCACTGGCCCCCGACAGTCCAGGGCCGGAGATGGCCAAGGCCCTAGAGCGACAGAGCCCAGAAGCAGAAGAAGACAGGGACTGTCCAGGCCGATGGAGTGCAGGTGCCCCTGCCCCACCTCCCACGTGGTGCACACAGCTCTGTCCCACCCGGCCAGAGATGACCTGTGCTCCTGATCCACCAAATGAACATTTTTTTTCTAATTTTTCAAGTTACGTCAAAATTAAAGTTTGTGTAAAGAGCTGTACTGTTGTTCTGGGTACCAGGCGGAGGATCGCGTGGGATCTTGCAGAGATCTCACTGGAGATGTCCGCTGCCCATGTTTCCCAGAAGTCGGTGTCCTCCCTCCCCAGAGCACTCTGCCCTTTCCAGGAGGTGGCAACATCTTATGTGAGGCAACATGTCTCAGCACCCATCCCTCTGGAGGCTGAAGTTGGGGGCTTAGGGTCTTCCCAGGCTCCCCCAAACCTCAGGCAGCCCCGAAAAGCCATGGGTTGCAGTGGTGCTGGACAAGGTTACACAGGGAAGTGGCTTCAGAGACAGACGTGCACAGAGTGGGGCCAAGGGGCCCCGGGGACCCAGCTGTGTGGCAGGAGGGACCTGGTGTCCTCCTGAGGTTGGGGAGACATCGCATCCCCAGAGTCCACCCAAGGACAGCTGTGTAGAACTGAGCCAGGCATTAGCCTTGCCTCAGGATGGGACCCACGCAGCTGGTCTTCTGCTCCGCACAGAGCTCCCGCAGCCCTTGAGGGCCAAGATGGCACTGGGAGGGCCTGTGGGAGGATTAGGGCCTCAGGGTTGGGCTCTCAAGAGTGAGACTACAAGAGACACCAGAGCCAGTGGGACATGCTTGTACCCCAGCACTCTGGGAGGCTGAGGTAGGGAAACTGCTCATTTGAGCACAGACTGGGCAACTTAACAAGATCTGTCTCAAAATGTAAAATAGGCTAGGGATGTAGCTCAGTATGAAGGTGCTGGGTTCAACGCACAGTGCTGTAAAGAGGGGGGGGTGGACGGATCCTGCACCCTTGGTGACAGGGCTGAGCCTCCTTGGTGCCCTCCAGCC